GACGACAGGACATTTCCTGATGAAATAGATGAACCCCACGTGAAGCAGAAGCCAACGAGACGGAGACCAGTACGGAAGAAGATACGTCCCGTAAAATTAAGAGACTTTGTTGAAATGTAATTTTGTGTTTGTAATTCTGTACGTTTAATTAGATTATTGTTAATTGTTATTAATTTAATGTAAGTGGTTATTGTTCGGGACGAACAATACTACAACAGCGGGGTCACGTGACGCTGGTAACACGTCATATTCTCGAAGCTTCGTGAAGTCTCGAGAGGTTGCTAGATGTATGGTATTCTTTTATATAAGACGGTCAAGACGTGACGGCAACAATGTAATGTGTAATTGAACTGCGGACAGAGAGAAATGTATTGTTGAGCACGTGAGACGTTCATTGTGAATTATAGCGTTTGTTATAACGTGACCGTGGAAATTAAGTGTATTGCAAAGTTGTATTTAGAAAGAATAAACCAGTTTTATTTAAGAAAGGACTTGTATCGCTAAAGTTCTTCAGAAAGAAATTATACGGAAAATTAACTAACGATCAGAGACGTAACAAGTGGCATCTCAGTCTGGCATTGGCCAAAAACCCATGAGAGAGAGTCTTTGGCCAGTACTTTACGTCCCTGTGAGTAAGGCCAAGCAGATCATGCCCCAATGGTCAAAGGTGTGACAAAAGAAGACTTAGACAATTTGTCAAAGTGTTTAAGGCAAATCATTGCCTGAAATGGACGGACTCGGGAACAAACTGTCCAACAACTGATACTCAACTTGGACAGCCACATCCTCTATTCCATTAAACAACTGTACAAGGAGCAGCAAGAGGAGTGGAAAACAGTCACGTGAGAGCTGCGTCGCTGATTTAACCCAGTGGGGAATTAGATAATATATTGGGTCAAATTCAAGGCTTAGAAAACTGTTTGTTTTATTTTGTGTAAATCCACTCTAGTGATATACTAGAGTGAAGGTCGCTAGTCAAAAACTCTCACCTCTTGGGCTACTTTTTTACCAATCAATAATAGGATTGGCTGTAATATTATAATGATCCCATGACTGAAAAGGCAAACATGGAAGAGAACTGGCACTGGGAGAGTAGCTGCTTACATATACAATTTATGCTGATTGTATGGGAAGGCCTACCAGGTAATGACATCCACAGATCAGGAGGGTGTACTCATGCACAAATTCATTGAGGGATTCTCCAGCAAAGTCATAAGGCAACACCTGGGTAAAGTGACATACTCAGCTTAACCAAGGCAGTTCCTGTTGCGAATTCAGTATGAAGTGATAACTTTGAGCCAGTTGTCAGAAAGGAAAGAGCCTGTAGCAACAGCTGTTTTGCCTACACCTTAGATCAGCTGACCTACTCGGCCATCTCAACCCCATTAGGCTAGACCAGTACTGAAAGTAAACCAGCCATCCACCCCTCCTGGCACTGTAATGCAATAATAAAGATATCCAGTAAATAGACAGGGCTATCCCTGTTCACCTAGAGGGTACATACCACAAAATATTCTGATGATGTCTCCACTGGAAAAATCATCCAGGAAGGGAGACTGGTAGGGCACCGGTGAACACATTGCCCATACTTTGCTGAGCAGTATAGATGGTAGAACTAGTCCCTGAAATGAAATAGAAATTGCATTGTTTAAAGAAACCAGACCATGAATCCCCAGGTTTATTGATGGGAAGCCTTGCAGTATATTGATTGACACATATTCTATGGCTACAATAGTTCAACCCGATTTTGTAGTGAAAGTTGGGAACTGCATCAAGATATGAAGAAAGAAAATGGAATTACGTGATCAGCAAGTGGATGTAAGGGTCCAGCAAGAAGAAAGTTAGAAATTACCCTTATTGTAGGAGACTTCTTTACACCTCATGATGTGTGGGTACTTAACATCAAGGAAAAGTATATATATTGGGAACATAAACCATATGGAGACATGGATGCAAGGTTAAACTAGCTTCAAATAACTAGACGAAGTTGTCTGAAGATTTGGTTTACCTATGGAGCTTTACTCAGATCAGAGACGGATCTGCTTGTGGAAATATGTTGGATTCTTGGGATTAAAAAGATCAAGACAACAGCCCTTCATCCATCTTGTGATAGCATAGTGAAAATATACAACTGCACTTTGTTAAAGCAGTTAGCCATAGATGAGTGAATGAACATCCGAAAACATGGAATCAAGATCTTTCACTGTAATTGATGGGTGATCCTACAGCAGTACATAAAGTTACAGGTATCATGTCATCATCAATGTTGTTTTGGAGAGAACCGAAAGTGCCATTGGACTTTCTGAACTCTTGTTTAATTAACAATCATTCATAAGAGTCTCACACAGGATATGTAGAAAGATTAAGCAACACTATTGATTACGTATATGACTTTACCCAAGAAAGATTTAAATAAGGTTGAGATAGAATGAGAAGTCACTATGATATTAATGCTGATAAGACTGGATTTCATCGAGGTAACATGGTATGGCTATATAATCCCCACGGAAAGAAAGAAAGAACGGACTTCAAATGTAAGCAGTTGCTGGGAAGGGTCATATACTGTACTGACAAGAACCAATGACGTTATTTTCCAAATACAGAAGGATAGATCATTCAAGCCAAATGTCATCCATAATGATTGTCTTTGGAAGCACGTTGGTGAGAGAACAGCCGAGTAATTCCAGAGAATAATTTGTCAGCAGAAACTCAACTTGTTGAGAAGTCTGGGAATCCTGTCGACACTAATTACAAAGGGTTATCGAGGTTGGAGCCACAGTGGATTCACCCAACCATCTACTCAAGAGGGACTCCCACAGCAACAGGACAGCCTGTAACAACAATAGACAATGTAGCCAGGAGAATCACCATAAAATGTTAACACAAGTGTGAGTCATATTTTTGTATTCTCCAGTCTTTCTGTTGTTCAAAATCTAGAATGTTACTTACTGTAGAGCTCAAGGAACCACTAACTGCAGCACATGTAGAGAACTGCATGTTGGTGGTTTGCACTTTTAATTTGACTATCCACATACCACAAGTTATATGTGTCTGTGCTCTAATCCTCTATTGTTGTTGTTTAAGCTTTACTTTGCTGTAGGGCAAGGAATACCCATACTAGGTTGGGGTCATTCAGTTGGACTTTCAGAAGCCTCAGAAGTGTTAATCATAACATCCATCCACCAATGAAATCTCCTACCCCATGATTTGCTATTGCTGTAGCAGAAATTCTTATGGATTCAACGCCGACATGGTGTGTCCATGATCAGTTCTCCCTTCGTCACAGGATGAGGTCAATCTCTTGCCACAGCTATTTTAGCCTGGTCCATAGAAATTTCATCTCTTCTTACAATGTGACCAGGAAAGTCCACCTATGTTTGTGTGAGTAAACACTCTCCTGGTCTCAGTTTGAAGTTTGCTTTATTTATCTGCCAGAATATCATTTTTCAGGTTGTCAGTCACAGACTCAAAAGTGTGATCAAACACCAAAATCATCATCGATATAGACCAGTCATCTCTCCCACTGCAGTCTCTTCAGTGTGAGCTTTATTAACCCCTCAAAAGTGGTTTTTGTTTGTTTGAAGTTAAGCACAAAGCTACACAATGAACTATCTGTGCTTTGTCCAGCACCGGTATCAAAACCCGGTTTCTAGCATAGTAAGTCCACAGACATACCGCTGTGCCACTGGAGGCATCAAAAGTGGTATGCAATTGTACAAACCAAATGGCATGATGCAGAATTCATACAAACCATTTCCCATGCTAAGAGTAGTCTTGAGCCTGCTCTCGTCATTCACATCGACTTACCAGAAAATGGTGCTAGATTCAAGGAGTTGAACCAAGAGGAACATTCTAATGTATCCAGAGATTCACTTCTTCCTTATAAAGGAAAGGTGTCAGCATGAGTTACTATGTTTATCCATCTAAAATCAACATAGAACCTTGGTGTACCTTTCTTCCTGGCAATCACTAATGAAAATGACAAACACTTTCTAATTGTTGTATTACTCTGCCCTTAAACATCTGCTGTATTTTTCAATGGTACCCTCCCTAGTGCTCCAGGAAAGCCAGTGAGGTGGTTGCTTTGTCGGACATGCACCACCTGTATCCATGTGGCTCGAGTCACCATTGTTTGACCCGAATGGTCATCAGGTCTGGCAAATGCATTGTCCTATTCAGCCAACAAGTCACTGATTTGGTTTTGATGCATTATGTCTATAATATGTGTACAATCCTCAAATAAGAACCTCAGATGTATTGGTAGACACATAGTTGCTTTTAGCCTTCGTGCAACAGATGTGGGGCCCGGCATGGCCAGGTGGATAAGGCACTCGACTCGCAATCTGAGGGTCGCGGGTTCGAATCCCTGTCACACCAAACATGCTCGCCCTTTCAGCCGTTGGGGCGTTTTAATGTGACAGTCAATCCCACTATTTGTTGGTAAAAGAGTAGCCCAAGAGTTGGCGGTGAGTGGTGATGGCTAGCTGCCTTTTCTCTAGTCTTACACTGCTAGCGCAGATAGCCCTTGTGTAGCTTTGCGCGAAATTCAAAAACAAAAAACGTAACAATATGATGCACTGCTGATTTCAAGGCAAAATTGGGTCGGCTGTGCCTTAACCTTTAGTTCTCTAACCTAGATGTTTAGTCCTCATGTTAAAAACATTCCAAATACCGTGCATCTTCCAAGAGTGCTAGTCCGTAACTTAAATCTGCCTATTTGACTTTTTTCTTTTTTTTTGGAGGGGGTAGAGTGTTAAAACGGTATAGTAGTTAGACTTGATTTTGTCGAGTTTAGGCTGTTTAGCACACACCAGTTCTTATTATGTTTTTCAACAGACAATATATTTTAAAGTTACTCAAAACGTTGTATATTCTATTTAGAAAAAAAAATGATTATTTTTTACATCTGTGCATATATTCGCTCTCAAATATCAATCATTCTTAATCATTAATGGACTTTTACAGCTATTTGACCTTAGTCATCAGGCCCAGCTGTTGACGGTATGCTGAGTTCTACTTAAATTAAAACTCTGAGGAGCCTTTGTATTACTTCTAGCCTTTGCCTCATAATCTCAAATAATATAAACAAATATCAGTTATATCCTGTTTTGTTTTTGATTTTTACGATTTTAACTTTGAAAAATTCGTGTGTATGTGTGTGTATACGCATATGTGACGTCATCAACAATGGTTACCTTCACCCAACTGTATGTATTCTAGGCGCACATCATAAGCAATCGTGGAAATTATAAGACAAATTTATATATATAAACAGAAAAAGCCATGGCGAATGGAAGAGATTTCTACGCGGGTTCTCGAGCTTTCGAATGGTTAGCTATGCTTGTAGGGCTTCCGATTGATCAGGTAAGATTTGTTTCAGATTTATTCAAATTGTAAACAAATCATAGAGAAAGTGTTTAGTAACGGGTTGTAAACGTTAGACATACTTTGTAACAGTAAATTGTATTCTTGAGATGTCGGTCATGTACTGTATACTATGTATTGGGAATCGAGATTAGATGAAGGCAAAGCTATGGTAATAATATTAGTATTATTACTATAAAGTATTAGTACTACCAGTGTGGTGATACCAATAATAGCCCAGTATTTAAATTTCAATGTAATTTGTAAAGTATACTTAAATTAAACAGTTTTTATTTTAAATATAGGGACGAAAAGGGGTCATGTGGTCCTTCAAAAGTAAAAATGCTAAATAACATTTTAACTTTTATAGCTGTATTTTTAGGAAGTCATTGATTCATCTCTTAGAATTAATTTATTTCCCCCTTTCACATTTTTACAAGTTTGAACATTTGCACACTTTCATAAATTATTATAGGCCTATGTTACAAATGATGTTAACTAATAGTAATAGTAATATAAGACAAATCAAATTACTTCTACAGAGTAACTCTCTAACTTATAAGAGTGGTATCAAACACATATTCTTATATTTCACAAAATTGCTGATTCAACCTTCTATTTTGAATATATAAAAAAATACAACACTCTATTAACTATATACACTAAGTTTCATGGAACCTTGTATTTATAATTATAATCTGCTTTTGAATATAATAGAAAAATTTGTATCACATCCTTAGATTTTCAAAGGTGTTCAAGGCCTATCATATTAAACCTTTTGGTCTTAATATCATCATTAAGGCTTGCAATTCCCTCAAGCTAACTTATAAGTTAGTTTCAACATTAAAAATATAACTTATAACATTGCTCCCTTGAACAATCTCAATGCAGAAATAAAACACTACACTAAACTGTCCATTCTTCAAGTCCTTTTGGTGGTTTTCTTTTCTGAGGCTTAGATGGGATGGCATTTTTTCCCTTGTTGTCTCTGGCTGTCCTGTTGCTAGGGGAGTTTCTCCTGGGTAAGTGGCTAAACAAATCCACTTGTAGCTCTGTCTTTGATGATCCTCTGGAAGTTGTATCATCAGGAACTCCAGGTTCTACTGCTAAGTTCTTCTATGGAGTTACCCAGTTGGCCACTCTCTTACCATTGTGTTTCCAAAGGCAATCGTGAAGGATGACCTTCAGCTTGGATCACCTTTCCTCTGAACACCTTCCTAACTTTGGAGTTTGTATTTTCTTGTGACAAGAACTGTTCAACTGTAACATCAATTTTATCAGCACTTACAACATAGCTACCTTTTGCATTAGCACAAGCCAGTTTAGGTCTTTCTTGAGTAAAGTCATGTATGACATATTTATTTTTCACAACCACCAATCCCTCATGACATGCTGTAGTATTTGGTTACATTACATCCCAGTCATTTAGATGAAGAATTATTACTATCAACTCCTAATATGAGTATCTTACTTCCTAGTGGTACAAGAACCACATATCTGTTTCCACTGGATGTTTAATCTCTGATGTAGTAACTGCCATAATGTGCAAAGGAATTTTCCTGGTCATAGACTATAAAGGTATTTGAAGCTAGGTTAACCTAGCATCCATGTAAATCCATGAAGACAGTTCTAATGTGTGTGTGTAATTGACATTGAAGAAGAGTGCATATTGGAAACTGACTACAGTAAGGGTAACTTCTAACTTTCCTCTTTTTTCTTCATTTCTGGAGGTAATTTCTCATCTTTTGTTAACAAATTCGATTGAACAATTTTAACTCTAGAACTAGTGTCAATGACCATTGTGCAAAGTTTTTCATTAATAAACTCGTGGACTTGTGGATGATTTTCTTCAAATAATGAACTACTTTTCTCCTTTGGAATAAATGGAGTATTCCCAGCTGAACATTGCCTCACAAGTCAAATTGATTTCTGTTTTCTTGATGTCTCATTAGCCCTGTTGTTTCTTTGATTTTGTTGGGCTCTTTCTCTTTGTCTTCGTAATAGTTGTTTATTTATTACAGTTTTTGCTGTAATGGCTAGGTACCTCACATCAATAACAGTTATCTCTTTTTGGCATCCTTTGAGAGGAGCTTTTATTCCATACAAATCTTTGCCATTATTGCAGTTCCTGACAGTACAACCTATCAAGTTACACTTGAAACATCTGTTGTCCTATTGTTTAATTCTCTCATTCTGTGTAACTAGTTGTCTGATCAATTCTTTCAGTTCTTCTATACCACTGTTAGAGGGAATTGATATTTCAATGCCACATGATCTAAAATTCCTGTGAGTTCTAGTTGGTGCTGTTAGTAGTTTATCTGAAACCTTAATAGATTCTAGTTCTATCGTCATCTGGAGAGCTTCCTTTAAGGATGTATACTTGCTTTTCTGCAGCCTAATTCTTGTACCCCCATATGTTATGGCATCTATAAATTGTCTATGTGCTAACAAATCCATCATTTCATGAGGAATATCCAGGTAAGATAATTAGACAAGACTTTGTAGATCTTCTGCAAGTTTGGCTAAGGTATCTTCTTTTCTCCATACTCTGTTCCAAAATTTGCTCTGTATATTTCTTTCTGGTATTACATTCCAAATCTGTAGGATAAGGTGGCTATCAATGCTTGATTGTTGTTACAGCTCTTGGCTGGAAGGTTACTTGATATTATCAAAGCTGGTCCTTACAGATGGGCAGCAAGATGGATGAGTTATATGAGTTATTCCACCCATTCACTTTGGAAATTATTTTGAATTGAACCTGGAATGACACCCATGGTACTTTCCCACCTTAGTCCATTGGTTTCTCGATTTGCCAGTGTTGAACTGGCCAGCTATCGTATTTGATGTTGTATGAGTCAAAGTTTGAAGGCAAAATATTTACTCTTATATTTCCACTTCAACTCATACACTCTGTCAATACTTTTGGCAATGAAATTTTTAAGAATTTAATCAATTTTGAGAAGTCTTTTTCAGTTTGCATTATTTTATTAATTGTGAATTATAAGTAACAATTAACTTGATGACATAAAATTTGCTTACTTTAGTGGTGCCATTAAAGTAAATATTACTCATTAAAAAGAATGTATACATGTACATTCAAAATATGACACAAATATATCAAATCATTGATTAGTATTTTTCTGGTTTCTTCTGGTAGGTAGCATGACTTGTAAGAAACAGTCATGGTGGCAGTTGTTTGTTCTTGTCATTTGGATACTGTGTATTCTTTTGAATTCTTCCCATCAATCTTATTACTGTAATCTCTATGTACATCTTGAATAGTTTCATCAGTCATGTCTTCAGTCACTTATTTTTATTTTTAATTCCTCTTTCTAGATCTGCTTTTATTTATCTACCTCTTTCTTCCTGGACTTCTTTTAATCTTTTATAAATTTCTTCTTCATTTTCTTTTAATTTTTTGTCATCTTCTTAGTATTCTTTTAGGTTTTCTTTTCATTTTCACTGACACCTGAGGCACTTCACTAGTAACATAAGGTCTTTTACTTTCTCCTATCAAATCATCTTACAATCAATTTAACTAGTTTTTCTCCAAACCCTACTCATGTGAATTGTTTTTAGCTAATCTTTTATGTATCACCTTATCAAAAGTTTCCTTTCCAACATCCAGATAATGAGAAAAGATAAGCAAATTAGTAAAACAGGATTTCCCTTTAACTATAATTGTCATATGATATTTGGTAGTAGGCCTATTATATTTGTAATGCTAAATTCTTTATTCACTCCCTTAGGGTTTTTCGAGAATAATGTATAATAGTATTACAACCATACATTGTCTGCAATGTATACTCTTCTTCTAATGTCATATGACAACTATAATGAATTATAATTGTACTTTACCAGCTTAGAAAAGGCATTCACATCATAACCAGGTTTCCCTTTGGTGAATCCATCTAGCTTTCATTTATGATATTATATTTCAGTAAATTGTATTGTACAGCTTCCTTCATCAGTCTCCTATGCAAATAAGATTATTACAACAAACCACTTCAGCATGGTTGAGCACTATAAGAAAATTTCATGTAGATCTATTTTATTTGAATATTTTGATTTTTTACTGAAATAATTTTTGAAAAAAAAAAGGGATTTGCTCCTACAAAAAGTAAAAAAAAAGCTGGAATTTTCTTAGCATTTATCATAATGTCAAATTCACAGATTTGAGCATTTGAGTTAATTTTTCACAGAAAAACATATTCATACAGTAATTTTTGATATATTTAAGAAATACAAGTTGAGGAGGGGTAATAATGTGGGTCAAAGCTTGAGAAACCTTTTACATATATGGTACAATATTGTTTTGCCTCTTATGTTTACATAAATACTTTGACCTTTGACCTCCATATTTCAACCCCTCTTTAACTTATTTACTAGATGTTTTGAGATATTATATGAAGATGTTATAATTTAAAATTGCATTTGACATTATAGGTAAATGATGAGGAAATACTTGCTATTGTTTTTACTTTTTTCAGTAGTATATTCCATTTTCTTCATAAATAATATTTAAAAAAAATCAAAATATTCAAATAGAATCATATCTACATGAAATTCTGTTACAGGTAGAGTGGTCAAAAATGCTAAAGTTGTTTTTATTATAATCTTTTTTGCATGTGCAAAAATCTGTTTTTTTACACAACAGAACCCTCTCCAGAAAAAAATGTGAACATCTGCAACTTTGTTTACCTTGATCTCACTAACCTAAAATTTATGTCAAATAATTCATTTGTTTTTGTGTGCTTGAAAGAGATACTACTCGAGTATTACTTATATTGACTTTTGGTTATTGATCTTGCCTTGTCCTTCCAGTAGCAAAAGTCTTTGGTATCTTGGAATTCACCATTTCTAACTAAATGAACAAAAATTACAAGTTCATAGCAGGCAGCAAATGCTATATTATAATCAGAAGATAAATTTTCTTAAAAGTTGTTTTGGAGTTACATCCTTAAATATTTAGTGCAAAGATTGTTTGATTGATTTTTTTTCATGGTCTCAGTCTGAAGGCATTCATATTTTTATGTATCTGTTTTCAGTTTAACTTCCTCATTTGCCAGTTTATAGCCTTGATGCTTGCTATTGTTTACAAGAAGGTGCTTCCACCTAATAAAGTGACACCTCAAGTTCGGCATACAGTTGCTTTACTGATTGGAATTGTACTTGGGTATTTTTGTTTTGGACAGTAAGCATGTTGTTATATTTAATTGCATTAATCTTTACTGTTAGTAGATTTTTAACACAGTATATGAGGTAATAAAATTACTTTTAATTTTTGCTATATGCTTAATTTAAAATATGGAATATAAAAATTTAATTTGATGGGAAGAAATATTTAAAACATTTGTATATAAATAGCTTAAACTTTGAAAGTAATGTTAATAGTGTACTAGGAATAAAAATATATCTTGAAAGCTTATTTGTTTAGTAACAGAGAATAGACATCTTAAAACAACCAAATGATTTAATAGTTATGAACATTTTAAGTTGTATTGTAGCAAACATATGAAGCATGCAGTGAACCTTTGGTAATAGTTTACAGTATGTGTCTGTAATTAATTTAGTAGATACACTACTAATTTCACAAATTTTGTCGTACATGTATGAAGTTATTTGTAGATCATGAAAAAAAAAATTAACAAAGATTTTATTTTGAACTTTTTTATTTTATTATTGTCACGCCTTTTTGATTTAAAAAGAAAGCAAAGCTTTGCTACTTCTGGATATTATATTACATTATATATAGATCTAAAGTGAGCAACCAGTAATTTTTATGCATGTATAAGTAATGGAGGACACCATGTTTGTTGAAACAAACATATCAGTAATGATATTTTAAGAACCATATTGAACCATCAGAATATGAACATTTTGTGGTAGTTCTATCTTTAACACGTGGCTTTTAAAGCTCATTTCTTTCTTTCAAATTCAACTATAAGGAATTAAGTAATCTCACTTTATAAAACAAAATAAATATTTTTAACCCTCACCATTTTATGATGTTTGAAACAGTTATCACTCACTGTTATTATATATACTTCTGATATAGTTTAAATGCACAAATGTTATTTTAATAGAATATTTTACAGGCTTATTGATTTCCTTCCACAGCCAAATTAGCCATTTGTGTCTATTGGGTACTATATCATACATTATTATGAACAGTATAAATCCACAGATTATGCACAGGTAAGATATTTCTTAATTTTATACTAAGTTAGTCAATTATGAATGTTGTTATTCATGGACAGTATTGTAGCACAAAATAATACATTTTTGATTGAATGTCATAGTGACAGAATATAATACAAATGGTTTTGTAAAACCTAGAACATGTTCAGTAAAATGATTAATAGTAATTTCCTGTATAATACACAGCAGAATTTCTTGAAAGCTTTGCATCCTACTTCCCATTTTATTATTAATGGCATATTCCCTCATCTGTAGGTCATAGAGACTTACTGGCTAGAAAGTTGTAAATCTGGAACAGCTAGTAATTTATCTATATAATTCAATCACAAGAAGAAAATAGTTGAAAAAAATTCTAATTTGAAAACACAAAAATTTTGCTCTTTTAGTAAAGGAAATGTTAAGTTATACTAAAATGTTTTACATATATCAAGCTAAAATTGTTATAATGACAGGGTAAGACTTACATTTAGATATGAAAGCAGCAGCAACAAAGGTTATATCTAATATCACTAATCCAAAAAGTGCATTCACTGAACTGAACATAAGTCAATGGATAAACTATATGACCCACTGTTACAACTTTATTATTTATTATCTAGTATTTTAAGTGAACCTGTTATATTTGTAATAATTTTTGCACTAGATCATTTATTAACAGCTTTCCATTTTTTTAGGGGGATATTTAGTGATTATGAAACATATCAGAAATTAACTTTGACTCTGTTCAAGCATTATTTTAATATGTTGACACATGAGTTATAAGGTGAGGGCAAAATGATAAAACACTTAAACTTCTGTGTTAGAAGTACAAGTTCTTTCCATAAATGTAAAAATGTTGATAACAATGTGTTATATGTAACATCACTAAGTTTTTACGTGTTAGTTATTAACGTACAAATCCTCTCAAATCATTTGAGGTCTAATGCTAAATGTTTGCAAAATCCCAAAGGTTCTGCACACTACATCTCTGATGAACCAGCTCACTTCAGTGTGTCATTATTATATTAAATAATCTCAGAACTGGATATTGTATGAGCTTATAATATTTATATTGTCAAGAAATAAATTATATGTGAAAATGTAAAGATATGCAAAAAAGATGTTTTAAGATTATTTCACACAATTTTAAAAGATGTGTATATTTTTCCTATGTCTTAATTCTAAATATTTCATTGTAATGTACTATAGACTATATAGTATAAGTTGATCATAATAGCTACAGTTAGTAATCTCATAGAGGAAGTGAAAAAGAAAATTATATATATATAATGAAATTTGAAACCTATGAGTTGGAAAAAAGTATTTTTTTACACTCATGTTGTTTTGTTGGTTATGCAAGAGGCTACTTGGTTACACTCCCATAAACTTAGATTGAATAAATTATGAAGAAGTTCTTGATTAAGATAAGTTAGTGATATTGAACAGCACACAAATTTAAAAAGTAATTTTGAAATTAATAAAATGATCTTGTAAAAAAAAAATTGACTAGAAAAACTAAACATTTTTTAAAGTAATGTAAAAATTATATGTACTTGTGTTTTACTTTTTTGAAATACAAATGAGTGATCAAGCTTGTGAGTTGTGTACCACTGTATGCTTATGGAATTGTCTCTGTATTACATTTAATGCTAAGTATTAAATGTGTAGCTGGTGTACGAAAATTACTTATTTAAAGTAACTTCAATACAAATTAAATTACACATTTTGACTCTAGCATTCCATCACATATGAGATATATACAATGATCACATATGAGATGTATACAATGATAATATATGATGGAGAAAAGGTACAAATAAAGCTATATGCCAGTTTTGAGAAACAAAGTTCTTTGTACTTAATGTTTTTTGTTTTTTGTACAAGTGAACATAGGATTTATTTTCAAAAAAGGTAGTGTTTTATTGTTCCACATGTACGACAGTTTGAAAAGTAGCTGGAGGAAATAAATCTAAGACTATAATATTAACAAAACAATAATTGCTGCAAATAATACGTTCGATATTTTCTTTGGTTATGTAATCAGCCATGCTGTTGTTTTAAAAATCAAACAGTGTTTAAACTAACAATACTCAGTATTTGTAGTTCTAATGTTTAAAGCATAATTTATAATTTTGATAATAAAAAATTGTTACAAGATGTTTATTCACTAGAAATGGTATTTAACATAGTGTTTTCTTGTCGATCTGTTAATTTTTGTTATTATTATTGTCATAATTATTTTAATGTGTTGTGATTTTTTGGTGGTCTCTAAACAAGTGCATATCTTGTACTGTGTGTATGCATTATTTCTGCCACTCAATTTTTGTGTCTTGTGGAATTTTTCTTTCAGAAAATTAAAAATGATGTTTGTTTGTTCTTAATGATTAACAATATTTAATTATTTAGAGGAGTATTGTTTGTTGCATTACTCTACCTGTCCTCTCTTCACCTGCTACGTTTGACTTATGACTATGGTGGATGGACACTAGATATTACAGGGTAGGATATCTGAACAATTGAAAATTAGGCTTCCTTCAGTTTTCTTTATAAAGTCTGATATATACAGAGTAGCCTGTTACAAGTTTAAGAGGTCCACATGTTTAAGAATATTTTAGTGATTTAGGTTGTTAATAAAGTCTTAGGTTTGATATTTTGAAAATGTTTTAAAGATTGATTATTTGATATCAGAGCTTGAATTTATAAGTTGTTTAAGCATGAAACAATTTATAAATGTTTTTGATGCTATGCTAATCAAATAAAATTGTGCATTTTAGGCCAGCCATGATTGCAACCCAGAAAGTGAGTAGTGTGGCATTTAGTCTTCATGATGGATTAGCAAGATCAGAAGAAAACCTGAGTTTGGACCAGAAACGATATGTTATTAGGTTAGCAATTTTTGGAAGATGTCATTTTACAGAAGTCAGTCACTATTTTATGCCTTTGAAAAGGAAACAAACATCAGCAAATTTTAGACTTTTGTGGTGTGCAGAGCACCTTTCAGGTGTCGAGAGTACATCTATGTATCAAATTCCCAAGTTTAAGAGAAAATCCTAATTCAACAATTTTTAGCTCAAAAAATATTTTAAAATTGATATTTCATCTTTTTTTGTAATATTTATTTTGTGTAATTTGCAAAGAAAAATGAAAAAAAAATATATATATTCAAACTTTAATTTCTTTGCAGCTCCTAGGAGCTGTGTATGAATAACACTTATTGATTTTTGTGTAATTTCTTTTTGCCCATCCCAAAGCATAGCTTTTTTTCACAAATAAATTCTCATCTCTTGAGAAGATAATTATGCATGTTTTGTTTTTCATGTGATTTTAGTTCTCTTTCTCTCTCTGGTTTTATTACAACAACTTTTTATGATCTCACAGTATGTGATCTGAACAAATACTTATGAAACTCAGCTTTGAAATTAGCTACAGGCACATTTTAAACACCATTGGATAGAGCAGATTATAAACTTTTTATGTTGATGTAGAGTGAATAAAATGGTTTGAGAAGTAATTTATGATTTTACATGAAAGTGACAAGATGAAACTCCTGCAGAGAAGAATAAAATAATCTTATGAAAAGTTTTGAAGACTTAGGCATAAACCATAGATCTGAGAATATTTTTATTGTTTCATTAGATTATATTTATTTGAAATTTTATTTTATGACAAGACATCAGGTAAGCTCAGTTAAGTTTAGCGAGTACAGTACACAATGGCAAAATGTTTTAATGACTCAAATCTTTATTTAATGAATGTTATTGTTAAGTTCATTATATTAGAACAATGCAAAAAATGAAAGAGTATTTATTGAAAATAAACTATTTATTAGATACATTTGATCTCCACAAAAATATTGTTACCTATCCTCCTGACCTAAAACCATTTTCAAAATATCAAGTCCTAGGTCACCAATTAATATTTGTTAGTTTTTGCCTTTATTTTTATTTTATTTATAACCAGCAACAAGGTGGGATCTAGCTATAAGTGAGTTAGGTGACTGCTTATGGCCCCATGGCCTGGCTTAGTGATTGAAAAAGTAAAAATGTTCTAAGAAAAATCAATTTTAGTAGTCCTTCTTCGATAGAGTATAAGAATTAAAATGTATAGCTTGTTCAACTTTTCTATTTAATACTGCACCTGCTATACATTTTGTACTACAATGTCTTAATTTTGAGTCCTCAAATAATTATTCACATCATATTCTCAATTACATATGACATGTTTCTTGAACATGTATGCATATAACAATGTGTTATTGGGCCCTGCAGCTAGTACTAGTTAGCTACTCATTAGTTTTGTGTCAGCCACTACAGAGTCACCTTAAATGTTGTCATGGCAATGACTTGTATTTTGTGAAAGTTATGGTCTGACTCACATATTCAGGCCAAAAAAGAGAATTGGTGAATTTTCCAGAATAGAGGATTCTAATAAGTTTGAGAGAAGAAAATTCCAGAATGTTTTTAGTACACCCATCCCTCTATATGGAATTGAAAATAGAATAGAGTAGAACATGAAAAGTTGCCCATATAGTGAAATTCTGTACAACAAAACCTGTTTTCTCATAGACTCCCATTATATTGTTAGATATGTGTTCTTATTGAAAATATTTTGGCCCAAAGACATAATAAAAACTTGAGTTTGTAGAAAACCTGTTTTAGACACATATTTAATAAAATGGTTTAATCAAATAGGAAAGATGCCAGATGTGTCAGGAAAAGTTATTTTTCTCTTAAAATACATATATTTCTTAACTCCAGTCATGGCTAATTATGCACCAGTCAGTAGGAGTGGCTGCTACTTGTACTGATGGGATTAACAGTCTATGTACACATTCTTTATACATACTTTCAAGATAAACACTTATGTTGAATGAAATGTTTTTAACTACATACTATTTTAGACAAAAACAAACTTTTTCGTGATCATAATTCTTAGAAATTTTGTTTCCAATTCAAATATTTGCTATAATGATAAATAGGCATAATAGAAAATACAAGATCAAAAGAATATTATAATTGTACATAGAAATAACAATAAAGTGGACAAATGAAAGAACAATACTATTGACTATTTACAAACAGTAACTACGAAGGTGAGGAAATATGATAGAAACCTCTCACTATGTATTGCACAGGTACACTGTCTAGTAAACTTTATATGTTAAAGATTCAAAATTGTGTTCTCGACTGCACCTGCAGAATGTAGTTAGGATTTATAGCAAAAAAGAGAAAGGTTTTATCTTACCTTTTATATAACAATGGCAAAATGTATTACGCTAATGTTATAATTGATTTGGAAATACTGAAACCTGATTTGAGGCTTTTGAAAAATATGTGGATATTTATGGATTTTTATATGATACATTGAAACTTCACACTATTACAGAAGCAAAACTTTTGCAGCATTGCAAAGATCTTATGATTAAACTCAACTTCAATTATTCATGCAACATCAATGAATTAGAGGTATATGAAGAACTTAACTCTCTTGCTCTGGGCTGTGTTGATTCGACCAAGTTTGTGAGCCCAAATTAACCTTTAGAGATTCCATACTATAACATTTAACTTGTTTTGTGTATCTTCACGAAATCTTGCAAGCTTTCAGTAAGTGTTACGAGTCTTTTGTAGACAAAAAAATTAAAATTTTTAATGAAGTATTTTTACTAAAAATATCTCTGCAAATATATGGAGTTTAAGTGTTGACTGCTCTGAGTGTAAAATGATTTTCATGTTAAGATTAAAAATATTTTTCTTCATCTGAAAATTCTGAGATTTCATTTGTATAATCTCTAAAACCTCCTAAATATATATCAAACTTTTTTTCAGTAAAACTTTATATTTCATATTATTTTTTCTACCCTAACTCTCTCTCTCTCTCTCTATATATATATATATATATATATATATGCATTTGGTCAATTTTACAGACCTCATAACCACCATAAAAATACAAGATAAATTTAAATTACTCTTTTTTTATTTTCTAGAATGACTGTAAATTGTATCAGGAAACTACAGTGGTTTAACCCATATAGCATAAAGCTTGTAACAGTATGCATCTGTTTATAGTTAATTTTATTGTTTTTTCAACTGTACGTCTAATTTTGTACATTATGCTTTCGTAAACAAATACAGTTGAAGGCTATAAAAATTATGCTTTGTCTGAGTAATAACTATATTATAATTAGTAATTTACATTAAGTTCTTTACTTCTTGGAGGGGTGATAGATATATTAGAGAAGAGGGTAAACATAGAGAGCAAATGTTGTAAGTTTTATACTTGGGGAGATCAAGGATTTTTTAAAAATAAATTTTTGCAAAATATAGTGCCGAGCAATTTTCATAGCCAAAATTTCCTATGTAAGCGGTCAAGAGTGCACCGCATGTCATATTTGCCTACGGCCCCACAAATTATATCCAGCCCTGACCAGCAATAATGACAATTGCAATTAATAAATTAATAAAATAAAAGAAATATGTTAATGAATATGAGTCAAGTTTAAATTGACTGAACATACAAAATAGAACTTTGTGATCAGCAGTAAAAAAAAGAATTTAAATTCTAAGATGAAGGAAATATATTTAATATTTTTTTCATAATATTGTCTGACTTTAAAATTTTGGACATTTCAAGACATAAAAAGAAAATAGAAAAATTAAATCAAATTATATGAATTTGTATATGCCAGAACTAAGTATTATTTGTTAAGTTTCTTCCAAGTTTTGTGCATGTTGTATAAGTATTTTTACTGTGAGAAGGAAAAATCCAAGGGATATCAGTAACATGATTCTGGTCTGGAAGGGGTTTTATATTCTATAATGTCTAGACATTACTTTTAGAAATATTAAACCTTTTAAATAAAACTTATTTATTCTAGATAATCTATATTCAAACAGTGGTTTAAAATATAAACTATAACAAATTACCTTGTTGTATAGGCTCTATTACCCAGTTACAGTATGTTTTTTATAATTATGTTGATTTATTAAAAGTTGTATGTGTGGACAGAATTTGTTTTCTTGTATTGTGGTACTATGGTCAGATCACTTTTCAACTTAGTGTTAAAAGCATCGTTTGCACTATTTATAAGTTCTTTTTTTTTCATGAAGTTTTGTTGAAAGTTTTTTTCTTTTTGCTTAAACATTGTGATGGTACTTTCAGACAGAGTCCATCAGTGCTGGAGTTTTTCAGTTATATATTCCACTTTCAAGGCCTTATGTGCGGACCTCTGATGTTTTACAATGATTACATTACATTTATAGAAGGAAAGTCGTACAACAGAGTTAAGCATCCTCAGGTAGTGTTCTCAGATTGCTTATACTGTGCAATTATGAAAACATCTATGTATGAATATTCCTAAATTTTTTGTTACCGGGTTTTCATATCTTAAAGTATTTTCAAGTAAAGTTGTTCATTCTTCATAAATGAAAAGTATTTTGCAATTTGTACAAATTTAATTTATTTTGGTTGAAAGCTTTATGAAGGTTGAGTATGCTTTATTAAAATGATTTTGGAGCCTCCCCATCATTACAGTCCATGCTGCCATGTCTGGTCATGCTCTAGCTGACAACCATGCATCTTGTCAATAGCCCTGCAGTGTAGTTTCTATTGCAAAAAGCTCCATCATAAGGCTATAATGTTCAGGGAACACAGATCCTCCATGCTAACTTTCCTAGTGTATGAGGACAACAGTTTCCCAGCTCCTGTTCTAACAGTCCACTTGCACATGTAGAATAGAATGTTTCCAGATGAGATCTTGCTTAATTACGTTGCCTAGGCCATGTGGATGGTTTTTGATGCTAATCTTTGTGTTTCTGGATTCTCACTTGTTACAAATGCTTCACATTGCCTACTACTACTACTAGGGTACAACTTGTTCCAGGTCTCTTTCAGCATGACCCTTGTCCCCAATTTGATCCATATTCCTAAGTTTCCCAATGCCATTAAGTTCAAGGAATATCTCCATCTTGAAAAGTCTAAATTCCCAACCTGAACACACCTTTACGATCTGAGTATTTGAACAGTTTCCATTGGAAAGGGCTCTTTTCATACCCTTCTCAAAAGTGATTAGTTTTGGTGACATCACATTACCTGTGAAAAACCAATGTAGTTTTGGTACAGCCTGTTCTACTACAACTTTATATTTGTTGTGGTTGTCACATGACTTGCTAATTTGCATATTCAAAATCGTTTTAATATAACTTACTAACCATCTCCATATAGTCAACTAAAACAAGTATAAAAAATAACAATTAAATTGAGGTAAGCTCTAAATTATTAATTCGTTATGTTTTAAATCTTTTTCTTTCTTAATTTGAACTTTTTTTTTACATACATAATTATATTGTCTGTTTAGTTTTTTGAGTATTTGTTTTATTTTAAAAAAGTAAGTTCTTTACAGTAATGGAAATGGTTTTTTTTCAGGGACAAGCACTCGATGAAACAACTAAATATCTGATCTTCCAGGGTCCTCCATTGGTCTGTTTTTTTTTTAAATAGTCATTCATTCATGAAGCAAATGTATAATATTAAAAAATAATTGAAACTGTTTGTATGTTGGGAAGGACTTAAAAAATGTAGTTGGAATATGACTCTCCCAGAGAAGTCTACAAAAAGTTTATATTTGCAAAAAAAAAGGTTTAAAAATAATAATTTTTTGTTTATATATAATTTATATATATTTATTTATTTATAAAATATGATGTAACCAATTTTGAAAACAGTATTATTTTGTGTATCAGACATGAATTACTGTTTCTTTATCTTTACATATTAAAGACATGATTACTAAGTTTTTGTTTTATTTTGAACTGAAGTTACTAAAATAATCAATATTTGTGCCTATGTTGTTACTTTAGGAACAAGTAATACAGAAAATAACTGTTAGCATATTCTTTGCTCTCTTCCTGGTGATCATTGTGCCACATTTTCCTATTACATACTTAACAGGTGAGAACTTATTTTTCTAAATGTTTGAAAACAGAAATCTTCATAGTATTAATGTTTTACTAAGAAAAAAAGAAGTTAAATGTACACTCACTTTCTAGACTCAAAGAAATCAATGTAAGTAAATAATTCTGTTATCTATATTTCAAAAAATAACTCATCCTATTATGTAGTAAAGAAATGTCTTTATTGACATAATTTTGCAACATTTTACTACAGGTTTCTGTAATTAGCTATAAGTTCTACACAAACAGGTTGTGTCAAATCTTGAACTATGCTAATCCTACCCTTAAGTTTGTCACACATGGTTTTAGGCTATTTTCACACCTGACAGACTTGCTGAATAATTTATTAAGGAAGTCTTGATGAATTTTGTTTAGGTGTGAAAATAGTGATGTTGGAGAGAGACTGGTTTCCATTTTCTGTTAATGAAGCCTACCTGGCGATGTGAATGACATGGTATTCTTGGAGACCTAATGGGTGTGAGAATTAAATGTAATTCTAATCAAAATTAATTCCTAGTTTCACCTAGGTGTTTGCAAATTTGTCTGTAGTATGTAGCCGTGACTGAAACCTGACCACGACAGAAAGAGAGAGTATATATTATTTTATATTTGAATAAACATTTAAAGTCTTTGTTCACCCAGCATTTCATGTGGCATTTATGTTAAACTAGCTGGAGTACCCATCCATTGGACAGGTGAAATAAAAACTTGTTTCTGACAAAGGATAGGAAATTGTGCTTTTATGTTTTTTTCTTAACATAAACATTAAAAGTGCAATATTGAAAGAAAGACACACTGTTTCAAGAATTCTAACAATAGTGGTTATATAGTTCATTCTAATGCTGATGGATATAAAACATTGGTAGTTTTTCATTTATAATTACAACTCTCCTGTGTAAATTGTATCAGATCTTCTCCTATTGTTATCTGATAATTCCACCTGTTTGTTTTAAGTGTACTTTAGAATACCAAACATTTATCATATTGTATTGAGAATGCAAATTTTTTTAGTTCTCAAATTATTTATACTATCAATCAGCAACTGCAATTTCACTAGTGAACATTACCCAGGCCATATTTTTTATCTAAAAAAATTCAATTCATATGGACCCATAGGAATCAAATTATTTGTAATTTACTTATTTTTTTTATAAGCAACAAATAATTGATTTTACTGAAGAGACGCATTTTATAGATCTGTGGTTTGTGTGGCTATAACAACAACAATGATTATAATTTGTAACCAATCTTTCTATGGTGATTGTCAGTAAGAAGAATGTGATTATATCTTGCATGCACATCTTATTTAATTGTTGCTCACTGCTGCTGAAAAGGCATTTTGCTTAATACAAAAACACCTCAGGTTGGCTATGCATGTAACAAAACAAGCTTCAGTTGAAATGCTATTTATATCAGTCATTTATAAGATATCAATTATTATAGTATGTAAGGCCTTTTGCCAGTGAAATTCGGTCTATAGCTCAGTGGTTTTGTTACATTAGATCACAATAACACCAATAATTATTTTTTTAAAGAATATTTCTTAACTGGACCTTTAGGGATTTCCAGTGAGAAGAATTTAATATCTAGTCTGCACAACTTGAGTGCTTCATGAAAGACCTGTCAGCAGCAAAGTCTTTAATTAATTAACAACTAGGAAGAATATGTTGAAACATATGGTAGTTTTAAGAAGATCAACATTTCATTCAGTAAATATGAGTAAAAAGGATTCCTTAGAGAAAAAAAAAGTTAATGGTAAGGATGATAACCTTAACATCACAAAGCTGATACATTGAAACTGTGAATGAAAATATTGTTTTACATAATAGTGTTGTTATGAGTTTACTTACTGATTAAGTATATTTTATTACAAATTGCAGCTTTTTCAGTCAGTAAGATTTGTATTTAGAACAGGTACAATGTTTTGATCACTGGTATACTTTACAATGATCACAACAGTGATCAAAATGTCATACCTGTTCTAAATACAAATTTTACCTACTGTAAAAGTTGTAACTTGTAATAAATTTTTTTTATGTAGTTCTCCAGTATTGTAGCAAACAGTTTGCACAAAAGACCTATTTAAAGTACTTTTGGCTCAATTTTTTAGAGGGTGGACAAAATATTTTATGCTAAAATTCAGTTTTTTTGTTCCATTGTTGTTTTGTAAAAATACTGAAAATAGGATTTTACTGACATAGTTTAAGTGTAAAGAAAGTTATTGTAGTTACATATTGTCATGTTCTTCAATGACCTTTGTTATCATCATTTCTCCATATCCGGCGGATATCGGTTATTCTGTATATTTACTTTTGATTTTGACAGAAAAACTTTTGCCACTTTCTAGAAAATGATTTCTCTCATATTGCAGTGTGCACTACTTGGTAAGACGAGAATGCATGTGCCAAGTGAGTGCACTGGGGATCTCCACACCTTCAATGCTTTTTTGGAGAGGAGGGAAGCAAAATCTATTAAAAATTCCTGGATCGTGCCCTGTATGAAAAACAGAATTTGTACAAGTTCTTCGAATCTTAGACTCTAATTTCATGTACAAAGCATACAAGTGTTTCAAAAAGTATAGAAATACACTGAAAATACAAAATATAATTTCTACTGAATTGAAAAACCCATCATTAGGCAATGAAGTACTTGACCACCAAATATTTATGATATATGGTACTAACAGACTTCTTTATCTTTTTTGGACAGTTGGAAATGAAATTTCAAATATTAACATGGATTTATGACTGTTTTCTGTATCCTCTCAGGTTACAAAGATCCTGCTCTTTTTTGTTTGAAAGTTTGACAATTATCCTTACTTGTACTTCAAGAACATGAACTCTGATATTTAAGCTAGATACTATTTTTTTGGAGATAGATATGTTAAAAATAAGTTATACACCATCTATTTTGTAAATGTAAAAAGCAAATAATGAATATTTCACTTTTTATTTATTTATTTTTACCTCTAGAAGAGAAGTTTTTAAATGAAACACCATGGCTTTCACAAATGTTCTACATCATAGTTGCAACATCGGTTGTAAGAAGCAAGTATTATCATGCTTGGCTTTTAGGTGAGCTCATACACATTGGTGTCTTCTTATTGTTCACAATATCATGATCTTGTGTTAGACTTTCATGCTAATTATAGTGAAAAAGGTTATGGCTAGATGTAGGTTGTATAAAAGCTAGTAATTCAAATTCGATGACGAGGAACCCCCTTTGAGACTAATAATGCTTGGAGATGGCTTGAATGGTGACAAAACTTTGTCGAAACATTGTACATTTGCTGTTATGTTAAACTTATATTAAAGTTTTTCTTCATTACCGATTCAAGCCATCTCCAAGCATTAAAAGCTAGTAATATTCATCCTTTATATGCTAATAGGTAGAAATATAATTTATTATATATGTTTTATTATTATTTTAGGAACTATAGTCAAAACCTTTTCAGATGACTGAAATCGTTAGATGTCAGTGCAGTTTTGGCTTTAATAAACTGCTCCTGCCAGTTTCTAGTGTAGGATAACATATTTGCTTCTCTACTGAGGCCTTCTTCAGTTCAAAGTTAAAGTATAGAAGTCAAAACCTTGTCTTGTTCTAGACATGCAGGAGCAGTGTATTAACTTTCTGTATATAAGCTTGGTCAATTTTACCAACCTTGTAACCACTATGTAACTATGCAACTAAACATACTATAACTCTGAATGTACTAAGTATATCTTCACAAAATTTGACAAATACGTTGCACACAAAAAATGAAATTTTTAATTAAAGTATTTCTATTAAAGATTTGTCTGTGAATTTACAAAGCTTTCAGTGAGTCAGTCTGAGTAGCTGCCCAGTGGCACAGTGGTATGTCTGCAGATTTACAATGCTAGAAACCAGGTTTCAATACCTGTGGTAGGCAGAGCACAGATAGCTCATCCTGTAGCTTTTTACTTAACTTCAAACAAACAAACAGTCTGGGTAAAAATTGATTTTTGTATGCTCAGAATTAAAAGAATCATTTTTGTCTTACAGTTTTCATATTTCATTTGCATAACTGCTAGAACCATCTAAATGAATATCAAAAGCTTTTATCAGAAAAACTATTTTATCTGTCATTTTCTCTACTAAATGTAGAAAAATCATGAATGTACAATGAAAGGAAATATTGGAAATTTTGAAATAAAATTAATAACATTCTTTTCCTTCTTCTTTTATTGCATCATTTGACAAAATTGGAAACTTATTTATATTCACAATTTCAACTGTTAACCTTTTTGCATCTGTTTTCTTTTAATTTTATGGTTTTAGTGCTAGTGCGTTGGATCACTGTTCTCCATTAAAAGCAATAAATCACACTGGGGGCCCATTAGTTGTCTTCTGTAAACATCACAAGCAAAGCACGTTACCTGCATGTTCTCTACACTACAGGTATAAGTGTGCCAGGCCTCACTTCTTTTTTTTTCATTAAGTTGGCTGTTGAAATGAAAATTCTTGTATCTTTCAAGTATACATTTGAAAATGCAAGGTATAGAAGACACTAGAATAGAATGTCCCAAAACTACTGTAATTTAGCTAGCTCTCTAAGAGCTATAAATAAGTTTTAAAAAATTATTTTACTGCATGGAGCATTCACATTACTCAACACAAATGAAGCTTTTCTTATCAGTTACTCTCTTTCACTAACAAAAATAAACAGATGATTTAAGATTTATGTAGATTGTAATAAGCTGTTTTTGTTGATTGTAAATATCCATCAGGTAAGCACACATGAGTAAATAATAAGCTTGAATGCTAGAAAAGATGGGAGGGGCTTCTCTAGTACATTTGATGAATTTATTGATATTTCAGCAGCTTGAAAAGGTCTGATGTTCAAGTTTTATTTCCTTACTTTTCATTATCTATGGGTTGTTTTTCTAATTGGTTGAACACACTGAAAGCCGTATTAAGAAAGATATGTATAAGGGAGATTTCAGGGTGCAATCACACCAGCCGACACAGAGAAAGAATTAAGATAAAACTTACATAATATAAAAATTTGAATTATAAACTACATTCTGATGCCAAGTTAATTGACATACACTGATAATAAAATTGTTTAATTAAATTTTGAATATAACTCTGTAAAAGTCATGACGTGCACTTTGACACAGTCATATTGTTAGGGATAAAACAAAACTACCAGCCCTGCACTGCCTAAAATACCCTCAATTCAAATTGACCAAGTTTGTAACCATTTTGTACAGTTTCTATACTCTAACTTTTAGTACAGCAAGTGTATCTTCACAAAATTTGGCAGACTTTATGTATTTTTGATAAAGATTTGTCTGGGAATATATGAAGTAGTTTGTTTACTAGTCTGAGTGCAAAGGGATTTTCATCTTAAGATTAAAAATACTGAAAATTTTCAAATTTCATTTGTGTAATCTCTAAAATTACCTAAATAATTATAAAACGTTATTTTTCATTAAAACTTTATATCTTATCTTATTTTCTCTACCCAAGCTTTATATATGAGATTGGTCAAAAAATTTAAATGAATCTAAATTACTGTTTTTTCTTTATAATTGAATTCAAATTGCAATATGGAACTACATTTGTTTATTCTAAGTAGCTTCAAACTTGTAACAGTATAGATCTGTTTATACTCATATTTTATTGTTTTATTGCTCTTTGAAGCAAGTCCAAATAAATATTCTTGACATAAAATTTGTAAATAAATTAGCAGATGTGGAGCTTATGTTACACCATCTTTATATGTAAAACACTAGAAGTACTTAATTGGGTCTTCTATTTTTTTTTTGCTGTCTACTATCGATGACACTTAACCCTACTTTTTATAGTTATGGTACTGTTGCACTAAACAATTTTTTATTTAATTAAATAATGCACCAAAGAACACAGAATAATAACATGCAAAAGGCAGACAACATCCCATAACTATCATATTTTTTCTGACTTTCTAATTATGTGACAAGAACCATTAAAAATTCAGCTGAGCTTGTTGATGTTTCCTGTGGGAAAAAAATTTGAACTGGAAACAAGATATACAATTCTCTGTACAGAAAATAATGTACTATATTACATCGTTTGATAGGTAAAAACCTTGGCTTTCTATTAGTTATAAATAATTAAGTATTAAGCATCAGAGACAAATCCTGAAAGATAGGATGTGACAGGTGGGTGTGGCAAGAGGGGTCTGATTTTTTATTTGATAGCTCTGTAACCAAATAAGATTGAAGGCTATATGAATTGTGCTTTGCTTGAGCAATAACAACATTATAATAAATAATTTACATTAATTTTCATACTTCTTGCATGGTAAAAGGGTGGTAAAAAGAGGGGATACCTAGTGAGCAAATATCACAATTCTCACACTACGGGAAATATTGCCTTATAAAATTAAGAACTTAAAACTTATATAATGTTAAAATTTGGATTATAGTTATGTTTTTATGCTAAGTTTATTTATATACCATTATAAGAAAGTAGTTTAATTAAATTTTCAATGCAACTTACTAAAACCTCCTGACATGTACAAAATGATGCCTGTTCTGAAAGAGACAAAACAATATTAGATTTTATGCTATGTTGCTACCTGTTTTTATTATAATATATTAATTAAATACATAATTGAAGATCCAGGCTGTAATGTTGAAACTGTTTTTATGACGTATAACAACATTTTTGATTGGTCATGCAGGAGAAGCAGTTTGTAACGCTGCAGGCCAGGGATTCAATGGATTTACTAGTGGTGGTCAACCAAGATGGGATCTGATGTCTAATGTAGACATTGTGAGATTTGAGGTATAGTGAGACTGTAATCTGGGAGGAAAGTTTTAGTTGAGAAAGTTGCTTGAAATGCAAATAAACAACCATCAGTAGGTTTACTTACCCATTTAAAAGAATAAATAATTACATTATATTTTATAATATACCTGGTTTGTGTTTTTTATAAGATATTCTAGCCTATATATTTGGCACTTTTGTCTATTAAATGACTTAAACAGAACACTATTCCTGTTGGGTGTTTTTAAATGCAATGTTCTACACCATATTCATTCTATGTGTACCTTTAAAAGATTTAAACTGAACACTCAATTTTGTTTTGTTTTCAAATATTCTGCCGTACATTCAGATAATACGTGCCATTGAAATAGTGTATACTGAATAATATTTCCAATTTCTTTTTATATGTCATATCCAACTTTACATCCTTTCTATATTTAGCTGTTAAATGATTTAAACTAAATACTGACTTCAATTTCTCTTACCACCTATTTTATATTATTTCATCTTCCACCTAAGTTTTGGCATTATAATAGATATCAGTATAATTATCAAAAGTTTTTCTTTGTGAAATTAAAAATAATACCAACACATTTGAAAGGTATATTTAATTTGGCCTACCTTCTGTAGGACTAAAGTTTCTTGTTCTACTTTCATTTTGTCTGTGTGTTACAATAAATGTGAGCAATAACAGAAATAGTTTAAAACATTTCTATAGCCATGTAATGAATGCTATTTATATTAATAGATGTCGGTGAACTTCAGAGAATCGTTAGAAACGTGGAACAAAACAACACAGGTCTGGTTAAAATCAATTGCTTATGACAGGGCAGCAAGTCACAAAACATTGCTAACATATATTCTGTCAGCCATCTGGCATGGTTTCTACCCTGGCTACTACTTCACTTTCCTTGGTGGAGCTTTGCTCACTGTGGCAGCTCGTTCTGTTAGTTTCAGAATATTTATTATCTCCTATGTAATTTGAAATGGGTTCATGATTATGCTTATCTTAGATTTAAGAATTTTTAAATTTTTAGTACAATTGTATAAAAACCTGTACTCATATCTGATCATAGTGTAGGTTATGTCTCATACTTACTTGTAAAATAACACATTATTAGAGTTTATGGTGTGAAAATAAGAATGTAGTTTTTTTTATTGTTTGAAAAAAAAGTAAATATTTTTAGAGAAGTTATCATTTATGCAATAGAACACTTTTCTCGTTATAGGAAACAAGTTGTGAACAATTTTATAAATACTATCAATAAGCAATTTTATATAGTGTGAAATAATCAACACCAACAAATCTTTAAATATTATTGTGCTCTTAATCAAATCAGCAGAAATTTTACTGTATTGGCCTGAATTTAAGACAAGGTTTTTTTTAAAAAAAAGTAAGATTTGAAAAATACAACTTGCCATATATTCGTGGACTATGTTGTCAGTAAAGCAATAAGCTTGAAGGGAAATTTAAATTATGGCTTAGCAATATTTATAAGTAATTTATGCCAAACTCAGAAGTTTAAGAGGTAGGATGAAAAAACCTAAAATGGACAATTTAGCATATACATGCATCACATGATACAGAGATGAAGGTTGTGATATTAGATATTTCCTTTTAAATTAAGAAATTAATCGTATATAATATTAAAATATGAATTATTAATGTCATTTTGATGCCAAGTTTATTGATATACATTGATAATAAAGTAGTTTAATTAAATTTTAAATGTAACTTTGCAGCCATGGGATGGAATCTCATTTGAGATTATTAATAAAGTCTTCAAGAAGTGCTGCTGCATATCAAATTAAATGGACAGGATCAGTGATAACATTCCGTGGTCTACTGTACATTTTTTTTAGATACAAAAAATTAATTTATCACCTTTGAAAAGTAAGGTTGTCTTAAATTCTGGTCAGTACCGTATTGTAAGTCTTATCAACAAAAACTGTTAGTCAACATGGTTTCTATCATTAACTTGGCACTTCTTTGCTTTAATTTTACAAGTAATTGAAAATAAAAGTGTGTTATCTTTTAGCTATGTTCTTTAAAAGTAACAAATATAAAATCTTTTGTGGTATAATGCTCTCTACTTATTTTTACTTACTTGGTAATTAAAGTTATTTTGTTTAACAAATTACAATAATAGTTCTTTTAGAGATATTTATTAGATTAAATCAGAAGTTGAAATGAGTGACTGTACTTAGTTTCTTAGTTAAAAGGACTTACTACTATTTTATACCAAATCAGGTGCGACGAAGTGTACGTCCTTACTTTCAGACCAGCAAGCCTATTTCAGTGTTCTATGATATTCTTTCTTGTCTGGCTACACGAGTGGCCTTAGCGTACATAGTTTTTCCATTTATTCTGCTAGAATCAATGGCCTCTCTCAAAGTTTATTGGTAAGAAACATTTCTTGCTACATTAAGTCCTTCTTGTTTTAAAATTGTTATATTTTTGGGAAAGATTTGTGGACCAGTGACAAAAATCTTCATTCTTTCACTGTGTCCCATTGTTTCTTGTTTCATTGTAAAGCTCCATAAATTTGGTATAACTTGGGAAAAAAAAATATAATAAGCAACTTTTCTAACGATGATTAATTCTTGAAGAAATATTCTTTTTAGGATGTTGTTTTCAAAGAATATCACTCCATATCTGCCTTTCATTTTTTTTTTACTTACCTGAATTTTTATTCGTTTACTAAATAATTGGAATTTTAAAAAATAATCCCAAAAAAGTTTTTTCTGCTTTTGTATTTTTTTAATAGGAAAATTATTCAAGGGTGCTTCAGGTCTGAGATGTTATGTTTCAGCTTAGTTAGTAGTGTTAAAATTGAATGTAAAATGATGAAAACATTGTTAACGTTCTAATAACCATTTCCTTTTATAGAATACTTTATAACTATTTATAACTATAATACTTTCTGTACTAAGGAAATATGAGAGACCAAAAGCATTGTTGGTATTTAGTCAGTGGAATGTAGTTGATGTTTATGTAACTTTTAGAAGAAGTCATGTTATTGCTGGTTTCTTAGTTCAACTTTATATATTGTTATATTTTATAAGAAAAAGAAACAAATTGATTAAAATATGTTTGTGATCTGTATTTAAAATATGTACACATTTGCTTATTTTATGTCCAAAGGCATTTTTAACACTTCAAACTACTTGATACAATTTTCTTAGGGGGTTCATCCGTACTGATCAGCTATGGATATAGAAATCTATAAGTTTTTGCACTATTTTGGGAGCCCACAGTATGAAGAGCTTACTGCTCCACTGCCTCAAAGTTAAATATGCTACTGTTTGTCATAAATTTACATTTCTCAAAAAAAAATATATTTAATATGCTCCACATAACAAGAGAAATAAACTCTGCTCTATTAAACTGACTGAAAGGTGTACATTTGGCTGAAAATACTTAAGATTCTATTAAATCTTGAATATTTTTACCTGTTTATCAAGAATAAACAAAAAAATGACATTTTTTGGCACACCAAAAGGTAGTCTTTATTAGTTGTTTCAGCAACACTGTTATTGTCATCAGGATTATTTACTTTTGATATACAGTAGCATAATGTGCCTGAAAAGAAATTTTCTTCTGTTGATGTAGTTATGCTTATTTCCCATTGTATATAGTTGTAGTTTTAAAAATGTAAAAAATTTTTTGTTCTTTTATTCATAAGAGAAGTTGTCACTGTAATAATGCTGTTTTTCTTTCTACTAGGAATTTCTATTTCTTGGGTCACATTATTGCACTCTTGGCTATATTTGTGCTACCCATAGTTTTACCACCACAAACAAAATCGGGTAAAAGTTCATCAGCAGAAAATGACCAGCGCATCTCATCAGCTTCAGATACTAGTTGTTTCAGTCAGGCAACTGCATCTTTCAGTTGATTAAAATGTACAGGTTTCATGTTTGTGTTGTTTACATTCATGTATGTGCAAATATGTAGGATACATTTTAAAAGTATCTGTACAAACTGTAGGACAGCAGTTGGAAAGTAGTGCCATCTGTTTGTTGAGCTGTGAAACTAAGATTTTGTTAATATCTGGTGTAACATTTAAGACATTATTTGGTATTGCTGTGGTATAAATTATGTAATTACTTTTAGTTTTACAATTGCTTTGATAACCAATCAAGTAAGTAATGTTATCAATTTTTCTTATTGAGCCTATTTGAACAATTAATTTATATATATATTTACACTGAAAGGAAATGTGCAAGCTAGTGAGGAGCTTATTAATAATTTAAAAACGTATTATATATACATATATATTTTTTATACAGATAACTTAAATAAATCATATCTTGTTCCCAAGTTTATTTTATTTCAGGTATGAGCAGAAACACAGAGTTTATCCTGAGGTTTTGTGTTCATTTCATGTAGATTATTTTCAGTCAACAAAATTGTTGTTTTTACTAATTTTAGACAGTAATTCAGTATTAACTGTAAAATAAATTTATCATCTTATTTTTAGATACCTGTAATTATAAAAAAAAGTAAACTTTTTATAATTTATTGTTATATATTTTATTTTATTTTGTTAATTTATGTATATTGTTTTACAGTTTAGTATTTCAGAATATTTCAAGAATACATAGTATATTTTCACCTAGGTAAATGATAATTTCTGGAAGGTGACTGATGCATTTAATTTCAACCCTGAGATTTTATGCTGTTAATAACACCTACAGAAAACAAATTCCAGATTTTGGTTTTTTAAAAGATGTTTGGTTGTATTGTGTCACAGATACAGTCCATAAATCAGTTGTATCATGTATCGAGAAGTGAAATTGGTTAGTACATATTGGTTTTAGTACAAGTCAATCTTTAGCTTTTATAAACCTTTTGCAAGGTTTTTAGTCAGTTTTAATTGTTTTTGAGTGTTTCTTCTCACTGAATTAGAATAAAGCTTTTTTTTTCTTCTAAGCATTACTAATAAAAAAAAAGACCATACTTTTATGTAGAGCACCCGTAATACAAAAACTAAAAGAAAATAAGCATTTGATGTTAAGCTTTATGTCATTTCCATAAGAATAATATGTTGAAATAGAAGTACTGAGTTAGTAAAGTATGTGCTCTGAGAAGAAGCTCTCTAGTAATTTTAGTCCTTAACATTTAGGTTACACAAAAGTTTTTAAGTTATGAACTATAAAAAGAGTATTTCTAATTTACTAGCTGGTAATGGTGATCCTGTATTATAATACGTGATAAACTCAATTTACTTTATAGGTTTTACTATAGTTAATATTACTTCTTGAGTATTTATGCAGAGTATTTCTGGCTGTTTCAGACAAGACTTAAGTAGTGCAACTATGCTTAATTCTGAAACATTATTTTAAAGATGAATAATGTTTGAGTCTTGAATTTAATGTTTAATTGTCTTAATGTTCATAAACGATTTTTCTTGCTGTGATATTTTGAAAAGAATTACTACTAAATAGATTATTTTAAACTAGCTTGGACTGCTTTGCTGAAGTTTTAAATGTATTTCTGTAGCTTGCAGTTCCATTTTAAGAAGTGCATTCTGAGAGTTTTATGTGACTTAAGTGTTTTCACACTTAATATTAAGCCTTTGGATCACTTACAGTTTGTGTTTAACAGCATTAGTTGGTGATTACAATTTGGTGCAAAAAATTTTTTTGCATTTTATTTTGAGTCCAAGTGTATCCATAGATCTTTAATACTAGACTTTTATTTTATATTTCTACATATGTTTCCAAAAAGAAAAGCTGGAATTCTAAAAGTGTAAATGAAAACTTCAAGAAGAAAGATTTTTTTCTCAATTTATATTTATAGTTTGAGTTAAACAAGATATTAATGTTTTGTTTCTTTGAAAAACTTGAAATTCAATTATTTTGCTACAGATCAACAAATAAATGCAGTTATTGGGATTTTGTGCTAGTAATCAAAATAATGTGTATTTTATTTTGAGTAGTAAGAACTGGCTATAAGAGGAATATATGTGCCACTATTTAGGACATTGTGCACCTCATCATATGAGATGAGACCTATGTTTGTTCTAATAAAATGATCAAATATTAAAATTTAAAACAATGTGCTGGGTGTACACAGAGAAAAGTATGGCTATAGTTAAAGGACACATTGCTTAGATACATTACTTGTATTTATTTGTCTCTTTCTGTTTGTTGAAATATCATACAGGAAAGTTCGTGATAATAATTTACAGATAATAAGTGTGTGGGCAATGTTTAGTTAAACGGGACTTAGATTTCACAGTTCCTTATATATACATATATATTTAACTTTTTTCTAACATGTATGCATAAAGTACATTTTAGTCCAGGAGCCAGTGATTGAAAAAAAAATTAGGTAGTAACATGCTTCGGGCATAAAAATTCCAAGTAGTCTGTCAAATAACATGATACCTGCAGTGTTTGAAAAAGTAACGTGTTTACCTCCACCAAGGGAAGCTGTGATAAAACTGGTGGTCACTATATGCAAATCCTGCCAGTTGATTTAGTTTGATGAAATGCCTTTATAATACTGAATAACCACTGAAATATGGTCTTTTATTACATGTAAAACATTTATAATTGGATTAAGAGCTCATTAAAATGTTACGTTGATTTATTAGTTTTCATCATCTAAATTGGACTATAGTACCAAATGATTTTGAAAAAAAGTGATCACAACCACGATGCTCGATCAAGGGTAGCATGGCTTTTCTACACATGCAACTGTTGTTCAAACAAACTTTCTTGCAGCCACAAACTTAAGTTCAGCCAGCTTCTCTGGTACTGATGCTATCCTCATAAACTTGAGAACCAAGGTGTCATCATACTATTTGATCCAACCATTTTCTTCTGATGATGGTGACAAGAAAATTAGCTGTTAAATTTTTATAGATGATGCACTGGTATTAAACTCTGTATAAATGAAGATTTACACTATCCTGTATAGGTGGGGTTTGGAACTCTCTAGATTTTTGTAGTACATGTTATATACATAAGATTATTAATGTCATCCTTTGGAGGCTTCTAATTGTAAGGAAAACAAACCTTATTGCTGCAGCCATTGCATGTTCAGTAATTGATGTGTACATTGGACAATTTCCTAGTTCTATCAAATCATCCAAATATTCTCTTAAAAATGAAAATGCTAATGTTTTACTACAACAGTGAATGACACTCTTGAAATCATAGTCAGTTATGTTATAAATAGCTGGTTGGAAGATACAGATATCAGTGCCTAAAGCTTAAACTATTGTATCATTTGCATTGGCTTTTTACCCATTCCAGTAACTTGTCAAAAGAAAGATCATAGTTCTAGAGACACAAAACTGCTGCACCAGTGTCTGGAGAGATGGTAAAATGCACCTGTTTTACTGTCAATTAGTAGACTGAGATTTTAAAAATATTTATTAAATATTGTTTTAACAGGATCTTAATCAAGGCTCTTTTTTTGAACATTTTTCCTGTGGTATTTTGTTTCAGTAACATTTAAACTGTTTTTAAAAGAGCAAGATGCAATACTAGGCTCATTTCCATGCATGTTCATTCCAACTTTGGTATTATAAGAATTTGTGTGTTAAGCTGCATGAAACTAACAATTACACCTTTAAAACTAATTTTGACCTTTTATGTCATTATAGGTTATGTGTAATACTAACTTTTGGGAGATCCTTTAATTTTAAGACTAATTTTCATGTAAACAATATTTCAACCCTCCTACACACACACACAACATAGTATTTTTTTTCCCACTCACATAAGTCTACACACTATTTTTTCTGACACCACAGGCATTGTCAGAAAATTTTCACCAGATGAGTGCTACAAAGTTTAAATTTAGACTCCTTTCTGTACTGGGAATCCTGGACTAATTTAGTTAGCTATTTTTTTGAATTTATTTAGAAAACAGTAAGCTGTTTTGTATGTTTATTACATTACTCTGTTTGACAGTAGTAGAGTTTATAGAAATATGAAGCATCGGATTTCTTTAAAATATATATAGAAAGATCAGGCAAATTAAACTTTAATATTGCAAGTTAATATTCAGTGAATTGATCAGTACAGTTTCATATATTGAATTTATGATGTAATAGCTATAATTAAGATATAAAGATCTATTTTGATTTCAGTAGGCCTAAAATTTGTTATAAAAAGTCATATAAGCTGCAAATGTTTTTTTATTCTATTTCTATTAATTTGTCTATTTCAGATTCAAAATCAGAAGTGTGTATTTGACTTCTATCTTTGTCTCCCACAAGCTACTACACATGTTGTGTCATAGACCTTTTAGTGCCAATTTATTGTAAAACAAAATGTGGTTATTTATGTGTGCATTTGTTTTATAGATATCTAAGATACAAAACTCACCTTGTGTTGAAAACAAATATGAAACAAAAAAAGAAGTTAAATTTGAATGTTTTATTCTCTATAATTTTCTGCAGATATAAAGTAATCTTAAATATTAAACTTGATAGATATACTTTAATCATGTATTTTAATCTTTGAGGCAAAGTGTAATGTATGGAGCATATTTGGAAAACTTGTAAAGGCCAGATTAGTCAAAAAAAACATTTCAAAAATTTATCATGTCGTTTTGTTGTCTCATTTCATGACATGTTTTAGTAACAATATAACAGTTGAGGAAGACATTGTTAGAACAGTAATGAAATATTAAGTTAATAAAGATAATTAGAAATTGATAGTTTAATTAATTTACTTCGATTTTTAATGAGTTTTGTAATAGTGCTAGTAAGAAAAAAAATGGTACAAAGAATTTTAAAGACATCTCTCACAGTATTCTTCTGGTCAAAATATTTGGCTTTTATTTGATGACCAAAGCAACTTCTCTTTATCTGAACTGGCCCTTAACTCAGCCATTGAAATAAGTTTCCAGGTTTTGAACATATGAGAAACATTGGAGTTTTCAGAATAATTGTTCTGATAGTTAATGCAGATTTTTTATTATCTTGTTTATGACTATAAACTTCAGGTGTTATTTCTTGTAGTTATCCCACAGCATTAAAATTAATTTTGTAATAATTGCATATTTATTCACAATATTAATTGATTACCTGTCATTTTTGCAGGCTTCTTTGTTTACACCTGGTTTGCAAGTAAAAATCATGCAATATAAAAATTGTTAGTTTAGGCTTAAAAAAGGATATAAGAAGGAAGCTAAAACTTCATGATGCTACTGACATTTGTCTCTACATGTTTTCTGTTCATCTTGATTATAAATTAGTTCCTAAATTAAACAAAAATATTGATTGGTTATTCTTAAACATGACTTCCAAAATATCCAAACACTGAGTCTTTTCTGAGAGTTGTCCAATTTACTAAGAATAATATTAGTTGCTTAATTATTGGATCAGTCTTTACAGCAAAATACCTGTAACACCTAAAAAGAAAGCTTGTTTTAGTTTTTCAGTTAAACCTGGATATTCTGCTGTTGTTGTACTATTAGTTATTGGATGAATTCATTGATTTTAATATCAGTTGTGT